TTTTCCAAAAAAAAATTTTGTTTGGAAAATTTAAAATTTCCAGACAAATTTCCCAAATCTGCGATTCCTGGAGCCTGTCATTCAGCCTCGACCGTTGGTTAACACAACAAATGAGCATATCGTACTCCGAAATTATGGAGCAACAGACACTGAAAATTCTGAGCAATCATCTACAGTAATCCCAAGACCTCCACCCCTGCGAGTCAGTCGAAGTATGACGTTCGCCGAGGAGAACAACGATGAAAATCTGGGATTTTTGGAGAATGGAAATCGAAGGAATCGAGCGATTCCGTCCAGGGGTACTGTACCTTTCAGGTCTTTATCGATCGGTGGCATTTCTGCTTGGTCCAATGGATATCGAGAGATTGGAAGAGAGCCCCGGAGTTTTTTCCCCGATTAAATTAATTTAATTCTGATTCGTGGCAATGTTAATAATTCCTTTTCTTTTTCAAAATTTCAATAAGTGCGAATTTCTGAATAGTTGTTAATAACTTTTCCAAGAACCAAAAATTTCGAATTTCTAATTCTAAAAAATGTTGTTCCTTTTGATTTTAAGAATATTCTAAATTCTAATATTTTTGAAAATTTCGGAATTCTGACGATGGTTTCTGAATTGGAATAATTTCTGAATCAGCCGCCAAAATGCAGGTATTTCAGTGAAAAGAAAACAAGGCTTTTTGCCTGAGCCTATAATTTTGAAACGAATTGTCACCGAAAAATGTAAAAATCTCACTGATTTTCGCTAATTTCAGTACTTTTTTGACTGGAATTTTTCACATTTCTAAAAAACATTATAGGCTTTGGAAAAAAACGCTTTGCTTTTCTTCCATTGGGCCATCCGAAAAAATAATTTGGGTGAATAACGGTTTCAAAATTCCAGATAAAAGTGTAGCTAGGAGCAGGGAAGATTATTTTTCTTCATAGGTATTCAAAATTCTGAAAACTGTACTATTCTTTCTAAAATTTTGTTTTCCCTTGTAAAATCTGAAGTGTTGAACTGTATAGCTTGTCTTCATTGAAATACAACACTTGCAAGTAATATTTTTCTTGTTTTTTTTTGAATAAACATATAGGGTTAGCTAGACTTCCAGGAAGCTGTGCTTTCAGGTATCTGCCGATTTAGGATGATTAGCCAACTTTTGAAGGGCTGAAAGTACTTTTAAGGGCGAATAAGAGTTCATGGTGAAGGGGGATTACTATCCGAGAGCAATTCGTCATATTTCTTTTTTCAGTATTGATGGGAATAATTTTGAATCCATACTAAATTGCTTCAGACGAATTACTCTGAATCCACGTTTCCTTTTTTATCTCCCTCTTTTTTTTTGAAATGTCACGGAAATATAATATTGTTGCCCTGAAAATCAGAAAACAGAAACTAGGAAAAATATACGTGAAGAAAATCTCCTCCATAAAAAAAAATCAAGAAGCCTTTTGCATCCTCGTGTAGAAATACGAGCTCTCGCAGGCCCCACAACGACAACTGAAAATGTTTTTCCGCATTTTCGTTTCTCGTTTTCACTGATTTTAGTTGAGTTTCCTGTTATTTTTCCCCCAACTAGTCAAAAAAGTAAAATTAGTCATCTTTCGGCTCCGGCCACCAGCGTTTCTCTTCCACAGCCCCGATTTTTGTACCAAAACAATGTTACCAAAAAATACAATAGTCCAGAAACACAATTTCAGATATCGGAGATTATCAGCTTTTGTAAGAATGAAACCAGAACTGGAAGAGAGCAAGACTGAAGAAGAAGAAACTACCGGTATAGTGGTAACACACTAATCAATTGCTCATTACTGTCTATTTTCAGAGTTGCCCCAAGAAAATTTCATTCGAATTCCAGCATTTGCAGTTCCAGCTGTCATCGGAAAACGTGGGATGACTTTGAGAAAACTAATGTATGATTCGCAGGTATAATACTGTACTTCTGAACAGGAAGAATATTCAAATTTTAGGCCGACTGTGTGCTCCGTTCGTACACTCCAGAAGAGCTCGATATCGTTGTCGATGGAATGTATGCAATAAATAAATATATTTTTTTACGAAAACTGATTTTCAGCAATCCCGACACAGAATGGACGGAGAAGTTCGAAACCGATGACTGGTTCGCCGAGGCTTCTGAAGCCGCACATAACAAGATCACCTATTTGCTTGTGCGTACATCCGATCCACGCAAGCTTCAGATGATCCGATTGAGAATCGCCGAAATTATTGAAGTGGTTCAGAAGCCGTGGAAGACATCAGAGTTTCTGGTTGATTCGCATATGGTTGGATACCTTGTTGGTAAGATAAAGTGCTTGGAATACTGTAACCAAAAAACATTATAGGCAAGGGCGGTCGTAACATCAAGTCTCTCCATGACAAGTTCACTGTTCAAATTCAAATTTCTGATCCGATTCCTGGAAATCCATCGAAATGCACTGTCACTGTTCGTGGACGCGATTTAACAGCTCTGAAAGAAGTGGAAATTGTGATGAAAGAGACGGTATTGCCAAAGAACTACAATCGAGTTCCAAGGTACGATGAGGATACATTGATAGAAAATGGAATCTACGAGAATGTTGAAGACGAACTCAAAGATCTGAGAAGAGCCGCGGATATGTTAGCCCAGGGATTTGTCTAAACATCTGATGTTCTATTGCTGGTTATTTTCAAATTTCAAATCTCATCAATTTTTTCTTTAGATCTCTCTTTTCTGTGTCTTTCTTTCCCATCCCAATCTGGTCGATAAATTGAGATATCACTGAATTTTCTGTTTATCTTGTTTTTTTGTTTGCTAAATGAAGCCTGTTGTTTTAGAAACTGTTGGAATACGTATGGGATGTTTTTATTGATCTGTTTAGGCTAGTTCAATCAGTTTGGAAAATTGAGACGGATTCTTCAATCATTTGTCCACACACTAGCTATGCTGGAAAAAAAATCAAAGACGTGGCCGGACAGAGGTCCAAAACCGACAATTACCGTAACCTAAAATAATTTTTAGTTTCCAAATTGTTTGGAGGAAAAACAACAACGAAAAACAGTGAAAATCTAGACAATAAATACGGTAGTTGTCGTTGTAGGACCTTCGATTTTTCTACCAGAAAAGTAGTCAGAAACTCTAGTTTGTTGGAACACAAACTTAATTTTAGTTTTCTAAAAAATCTAAACAATACAAGTTCAGCTGCAAATGCCAATATTCTCTCCCTTGAATGTTTGTCAAGAAAAGTACTATTTGCGATGATTTTGTGAACAAATACGCCCCGAGTTCGAAACTGAGTCTGACGTGTCGTTTTTTTTGTGGGTGAAAGAGAAGTTTATCTCGGCATGGCACTTCAGATTTGAGCTTTTTTTGGACTTGGGTTTATCGTTTTTCTTTTATCAAAAATGTTGAAAAAACTGTTGTCGAGAAAATTTTTTCAGGTTGTTTTTACTTGGATACACAAGGTATTATAGTTCTTATTGATCTCGAATTCTTAGTTTTCATTTTTCATGTTTTGGAAGAATCTGAAAGACTTCTCAATGGAATATTGAAAGAGCTATAAAAATTCCAGCCTGCAATAAATATATGATAGAAATTTAATATCATTAAACCTTTATTGGAAGGACCCGTTTGAGCTCAGTTATCTCAGTTCCTGTAAAAGATATCAAAAATGTGTCACCTGACAAAAAGTTTCTGAAATTACAAGAAACATTTCATCAGTGGACTACTTTTTCACATCTTTGACAGTAACCGAGAAAAATTGGCTCAAAGTTAAAAGTTAGGGAGCCCTTTTATTACAGGTTTTACGGTATACATAAATGCTCGTACATGAGAACAACTTCGTTTCTCACTGAAATAAAGCATTTTCTCCAAAAATGACATCATTTTTCTCGTATGCTTTTGGTCTTCTCTTTGAATCTCCCAATCTTTTTGACATTTTACTGGTATTTACATTTTATAACCATACTAGAATCCATCATTTCCATATTTGTTTTAGGTGAATACAGTATAGGGAGAAAGCGAGACAAAACTGTGATAAATAAGCTGATAATCTGAAATATCAAACTAACGTTTTCTTTAATAGTCACCTGAATTTTCAAATGTTTCAAGGTCTTCTTGTGTCTCTTGTGTTAAATCTGGATTTTGTTGTTTTCTATGCGAGATGGCCTAGATTATTCTATGTCTCTCTTTCAATGAATTTTCCAGAATTGATTAGTCATGAAAACAACAAAAATATTTATAGATAAATATTTAGATTCTTGTTTTCAAATATTTTGAAAAACGGAATCACTTCCTCTCTCTTATCTAATTGGTTTTTTGATTTTATTCACTACCGCTGAATGACTCAAATTTTCTGTCGAGCTCCAAAAACTTATAATTTTTGTTTTCTTTTCTTTTAAGTTTCAATTTTTAATATCGGCATTTGCATCAGATTTTTAAAACGTTTTTCTGTGAAGGATATTAAGTGGGTTTTTTGTAAATCGGGACCTGCCATAGTTTTTTTAGAATCAAAGCTATAGACGAAACGAACCGAAAATAACAGACAGGGCCCAGTTCAGCCACTCTATGGCTTTTATTTTTGTCCATATACAGGATACAATTTTTCGAATAATACCAGTTTGCAGTACTCAACGAGTTCTAATTTAGTTAATCAAAAAGTAATGATTCTAAAAGCAGCTATGGCAGAAGAATCTAGAAACGGCGAAGGCCCGCCATAGGCCCGTTTGACAAGTTTCTCAATTTCGCTGACCGTCATGAATCAAAAACCTTCCAAACGTTTAAAAAGTGTATTTAACCCTCAAATAAGGCACACTTCAGAAAATGATAAGGTAGATGACACCTTGTGTAAACGTCGTTCTTGCACTTAAAACTTTTGGTTAAGAAAATATGAACATTTCTTTCCAGATAGGATGGAATTCCAGTAAAAATTTCAAATGCAAAAATCGTACTTTGTATTTTTTTTTCTCGTTGAAACCGTATTCCTTGCAGAAACTCTTTTATTTACATTGTGAATATTTCACAAACTGTCTCAACTTTCCATCTTATCGTTTTCTATTTCCATATCGTCATTTCCTATTCTGTGCTCTTATCGGTTTTCGGAAAATTCCCAAATTTCGCCATTTTCATCTATCTTTGAAGTATATTAATACAACTACTATCTGTCCTGGAAAGGATGTAATTGCTACCTGACTCATAATTTCATTTTTTAAACAAATTTTTGTTACAGGTACTGTTTTGTGATTCTTTTTTCAATCGTCATTTTTAAAATAGTTTTCGAAGAACCGTTCATTGAGTACATGTACTTTGAGATCAAAAATTGGTTTCGAAAAAAATGGGGGATGAATATAAAAATAAAAAGAATCTATGTAGTAAACAGGTTTAGAGTGCATCGAAAAACCAATTCATTCATAATTTTATCTATTTTTCCCACTGTTCTGTCTCTTCCCTTTCCATATATGTTTATATTTTCTCTTGATTTTTAAAAGTGATATTTGAATAACATGGAGAAATTGTAAGATTTCCAATCCTAATGAAATTATTTAAATTCAAGTTATCCCTTTTTCAGATTTCATTTCGCTGTCCATTTTCTTTTTGGAAATGGTACAATGAGCGGTGAGCCGGTGCCGCTCATCTTTTTGGTGAGATTTTAAAACTACAGTTATGAGAAATATATAAACGTATTTTTCAGTTGATTTTGATTATTTTCAGAAGTCTAGAGCTCGGGTAAAACTTTTAAAGGGTGTAAAGCAGACCTAGATTGATAGAACTTTTTTGAACATTTTTAGTTTTTCAGCTATTTGCCGATTTTAGAAAGACACCTTTTTTGGCTGATTTTTGTACTGGAAAGTGAAAAAAACAGGTGTCTTTCATTGATCGTCAAATAGCGGAAAAGTAGGAATTTCCAAAAATTGTGTGAATTAAAAGTTTTTGATCTAGGTCTGTTTTACACAATCCAAAATTTTCAAGGTGATCGGAAACTTGCCAGCCGAGCTCCAGAGTCATGAAAATTACCGAAAACCAACTGAAAATATGTAGTTGCATATATTTTTGACTGGTACTGTATTTTGATTTAAACTGTATAAAATTTTTAGAATTGCTCCAGCATATTCATATTCGGCAAAGATGAGAAATACGCCGCATGTCCGATTGAAAACGGTACTGATCCATGTTATTTACTACGAGAAGTACATCGAGCAAAGGAGTTTCGAACCTATTTTCTTGCAATACTTCCTATCATTTTATCAGTGATTGCATGTCTTTTGAATATTGGATACTTGATAGCACAGTTGAAATGTTTTAGTCAAGAAAAGACCAGGTGCCTAATTTTCAATCAGGATTCAAAAGATTTAAATTCGCTTCAGCTTCAAAAAACGGCAAGTATTCCTTATCAGCCGATCTCTTTCAATCATTCTGGCCAATTTGTTATTCTATGTTGTTGTTATCGTTTGGAAAGCAAATGGATTTATGTATACTTCAGCAATGATCTTCATTTTGATCGGAGGAATTAACTTCCTTTCTGTAACTGGTTGATTTTGGATTTTTTTGATTTTTGAAAATCCAATGACTTTCAGGAACATATATTGGTCTCACGATTCTTCTCTACACGGCAATTGCTCATCAGTTTTGGTACATGACGAAACTAACCCTCACACATTGTTGGTTAATTATTGGGCTGATTTGGATCCTTTCAACGGCTTCCTCGGTTCGTTTCACTGGTTAGTTTTCAATTCAAAATTTATTAGTTTTCAGGTTTGCATTGGACTATGGGGAGCGACTTTGTTCTATCCAGAATCTGCGCCGATTTCCTGCTCCTTTGAAAAATGCCAACAGCCATTGGCTATTATAATTGTTGTTGGACTATCAATTTGTTATGGAACTGTCATTGGGCTCTACATTGCAATGATGGCAAGACTTCATCGATTGGTTCGAAAATCTTCTCTAGTTCAGTCAAGATCCAAATCCAATAGCATGACGGCAATGAAACGTCTTGGACTAAACATGATAACATTTGCTGTTGGAAGTGTTCCAATCCTTGTAGTTTGTATTGTTGCTTTAGCAAATCTTCGAGAATTATCATCTTTGGGAGAAGGATGCAAAAGCCCCTGCAAAACTTTTCTGCATAGTTCTCTTTTTGTGGAAGTGGAAATTCTGGCGAGTGTAGCTGCAATCGTTTGGTGAGTTATCTAACTTGTAACTTTCAACTTTGAGCCAATGTATCTTGATTGCTGCCAAAGATGTACGAACGTTGTCCACTGATAAATTGTTTACTATGATATCACAGACATTTTGTCAGTTGACACATTTTTGATATCTTGTATAGGAGCCAAGATAAATCAGCTCAAACCTAAAGGAAGAGGTGCGGACGGATGAAAACCGTCTTGTCGCCTTGACGATGCCGGCGGGGCGTTGGCGGCTGGTCGACGGACCGCTCGTTTACTGTGCATAGAGTCACAGCTGTTGAAAAAAAATTTGCTGGGCATGGTCTAGATTCCTTCTCATAGTGGTTTGGAAGCAATATCTCTTCGCCAAAAAAAAAGTGTGAACAAATTTGAAAAAAGTGGATGACAAATTGATATTTCAGGATCATCGCCATGATAATTGATCCAGTAATCAACATTTTGGCCGACAAAAAACTTCGCGGTCTATTCTCGAAACAAATCACACGGGTCTCACAACGACTTCGAAGAGCCTCCACTAAATCTACAATCTCAACTGATGACCAATAATAGAATTCTTCATCAAAGTGTGCTTTTATCCTACGACGGGTTATCTATCTGGGTCCCAATTATTTTATTGTTGACTGGTCAACACATTGTATTTTCTTTTTGTGCTGTAAATGAACATTTTAAATCTAACCCAAATTTCAAAAAAACAATTCAAGTTGTAGTAATCACGTTTGTTCGAGCAGCAGAAGTGTTGTATTGATAAATAACCAACTGAAAAGAAAGAAAATCAATTTGTTCAGGGAATGTATGGTGAACAATGTTCATCTATCGACGGAGTTTCAGATGAGATACCTCCTATATTTGTGGTAAAGAAATTACATCAACTTATGCAAAAATCTTTAATTATCAGAACTGTTCCAAATATTTTATCACAGGGAAAGACGAAATTTATGCAGATTGTCCAATCAAAAATGGAACAGATCCATGTTATCTATTAAAGGTATTCTATTAAAGTTACATAATGTCAATCTATATTCTAGATCTTTGCTTCAGGAACTTCATCGATCTGATTCCTTTAGTGACTATTTCTTAGCTATATTGCCTATAATTTTTTCAATAGTTGCATTTATATTTAATATTTGTTATCTGATAGCCCAGATAAAATGTTTCAGATTTGAAACAATGGGGTAAAAAAGATTCTTAGAGTTCCTATCCCTCAAATTTAACTTCTTAGATTCAAAAAACGAGAAGCATTTCTCATGAGCCGATCTTTGTCAATTATTGTTGCCAATTTGTTGTTCTATGTTGTCATTATTGTTTGGAAAGTCAATGGATTCAATTATACGTCAGCCATGATTTTTATTTTAGTTGGTAGTAGCACATTTATGTCAGTTACAGGTTAGTTAAATGTCAAAGAATATATGTCCAAGCTTCCCGGCCGTGGCAAGTGGATTCTGATCTATTTCTACTTCCAAACAAAAGTTACAATCCGAAGTCCTATTTTCTCCTTCTATTTTCGAATAACTACTTTTCAGGTACATATATAACACTAACAATTGTCTTATATCTAGCAGTTGCTCATCATATTTCGTATATGACAACTGTTACTCTTAAACATTGTTGGCTTCTAATAGCTTTGATTTGGTTCCTTTCAACAGTTTCCTCGGTTTGTACATTTTCCAAAAAAAAAAAAACAGAAAACCCTTGTTCTAGGTGTTTGTTGCTCTGTTCGGAGCAACTCTCTTTTATCCGGACTCGGCTCCGATATCATGTTCGTTTGAATCTTGTCAAAGACCCCTTGCTATCAGTATTGTGGTAACTCTATCCATTTGTTATGGGACTGTCATTGGGCTCTACATTGCAATGATGACAAGACTTCATCGATTGGTTCGAAAGTCTTCTCTGGTTCAGGCACGATCTAATTCTAATAGTAAGAAATCTACTTATTGAATATTTCCAACTTTTCGAATCTTCCAGGTATGATTGCCATGCGTCGTTTGAGCCTGAACATGATTACATTTGCTGTCGGGAGTATTCCAATCCTTGTAGTTTGCATTGTTGCTCTAGCGAATCTTCGTGAATTATCATCTTTGGGAGAAGGATGTAAAAGTCCTTGCAAAGCATTTCTATACAGTTATCTGTTCATTGATGTTGAAATGTTGGCTAGTATAGCAGCAATCGTATGGTAAGACTCAAATCAAGCTAAGAACATATCATATTTTCAGGATAATTGCAATGGTTGTGGATCCTTTAATCAACATAATAGCAGATAAAAAGCTTCGTGGATTTTTCCTGAAACAATTCCCAATTCTTTCATTCATCCTCCGAAAAACAAAAGAGAAATCAGCAGAGATTACTGTAGTAGCTGATAGCGAGGAAGAGGAGGAGGGCTATACAAAACTTTGATATTTTGTGTTCAAAATGAATCTTTCTACTTTTCTATAATTCGAGTTTCTCTTGCTTGAATCGTCTTCTGATCCAATCGACATGAACAATGTGCTCATTCCCTCCGCGAGCCACTGCTGCGATTTTTGAATTACGCGCGCATTGATTCGCAAGGAAGCAGGTTTGCATTAAATGCAAAATTGATGCCGCGGCCGACGTTGATCACTTCTGGAGAGTTTTTGAGCCCGAAGTCGATGACGGTCTCAATACTTATTGATTATTTGTTGTTCACAATTGTTCAAAATCATTCGGTCACTTTTTCAATAAGTTTAGACAGTCAGTAATCAGTCAGAAAGCTTCCATTCGTCCAAGTCCTAAAAATGTATTGTTTTCTTCAAATTTTTTCAATAAAAGATCCAAATGTACATCAATAAATATACTTTGCTTCAGGTAATCAACACCTAAAATGTCGTTTTTCCACTTCATCAACTGCATCGCTCTGTCGTTTGCCCCATACTTCATCATCTACAAATATTCAGGTATTTTACCGAAAATTTATTTAAATGTAAAAGTCATTTCTAAAGGAATCAACGAGTATAGTTCAATTTGGAAATGTGCAACAGCGAGTGGAGGGTACTTGCTAACCCAGCTCATCAAAATGCTCCTCCTAGCCACCTTCTTCCCAGCTCTGGACGGCGAAGGGTTCAGTATTTTACCAGTCAGTTTTTACTATTCTCTCGATTTTTTTGTATTTGAAACGTTCAGGAATTTCTGAAAAGCAGTGCCGATATTGTTGATGTGATTGGTCTTCATATGCTCATGACTAACTTTTTGGCTGGAAAAGGAGAAGTTCGCTTTGTTGTTGGAAGTCTTGGGTGGGGATTCGCTCACTCAGTTTCTCATCGATTGGTTCTTCTCTGGGTTGGAGCTCGCGGTTCCGCTTTCACATGGCGCTGGATTCAGGTAAGAACTTAACTGATTATAACCAAATAATAAATAATTTCAGACGTCTCTCGACTCCTCCGCTGATTTGATGGTTATTGTTTCTATGGCTTGTCTCACTTGGATGATCACTCGCAGTCAAAACAAAACAATCATCACCCCAGTGTTGGCTATGTGCGTATACTCTACATTCGTCTATCAGTAAGTCAACTTATTCTATACCACTTCTTTAATTGCTCATTCAGATCCATTCAACATGGGTTCTCGCTCTACGGATGGTCTCTCTTGGCATTCCGTTTTGTCTACTCAATTGCGACCGCTGTCCTCACTATCATCGTCTATTCAGCGAACCGAACATCTGTAGCCAGAAAGAACGAGTAGAGACTTATCAATCTGTTCCAATTTTTCACATCTTGTTGCTCTTCTGATCTTTTTTATTTATTTTTTTCAACAACATATGTTTAGAGCTTTCTTTCTTTTTCATGTTGATACATTAGATTATTTATTGCTTAATTTAATAATTGAATGAAACCTTTTTGCTTTATTTGATTTTATAACTACATCAAGGTCAACAGTCCCTTTTGATTCCTTTTTGAAGTTCCCTCCAGGGGTGGGCGAGAATGGGCGAAAAACCTTCACGTTTTGCAAATTTTCCTCTCTCAAAATGTAAAGTGTTGAGTGAAGGCGCACACGCAATTTTGTCGATTGGCCTCGACACGAAAAACTAAACTTCTAATATTTCACACAATTTTGGAATTCCGAGGATGATTTTTGAATTGGGATACTTTTTGAAATTGGCGCCAAAAGTCAGGTGTCTCAGTGGAAGGTTAACAATGCGTTTTTGCCTAAACCTAGGATTTTAAATTTAAAAAAAAAAACAAATTGAAACAAATTTTCACCGAAAAATGTGAAAATCTTACTGATTTTCGCTAATTTCAGTACTTTTTTGACTGGAATTTTTCACATTTTTTGAAAAAATTATAGGCCTTCCCTTTTATTGGGCTATCCGAAAAATGGTGCCAAACTCAAAAAATTTGCATGACCAGAATTCGAATTCAAAATTTAACACAAAAATGTCGCAGGGAATAGAGAAAATTATTTTTTCCTCATAGGTATTCAGATTTTTTGATGATTTTTTAAAATTCTGAAAATTATTCTATTCTTCCTAAAATGTTGTGTTCTCTTGAAAAATCTGTAGTTTTTAACTGTATAGCATGTCTTCGTTGAAATATATCAATTGCAATTTCAATTTTTTTTGAATGTGCAAATTATTGCTGTTTGAAAAAAATGAAGGTTAGAGAGTATTTTTTGTTTTTTTTCATATTCCTCTTCTAGTTTTGATGGGAATAAATTCGAATACTGTGGATCCACGTTCCTTTTTTATCTCCCTCATTTTTTTTTAATGTCACGGAAAAATATATTTAATATTGTTGTCCTGAGAATCAGAAAACAGAAACTAGGATACAGATACACGTGAAGAAAACCTCCCCCATCAAAAAAATCCAAAATCCTTTTGCATCCTCATGTAGAAATACGAGCCCTCGCAAAACACATGAAAAAGGAAGTAACCGAACAATTTTATTAAAATATCTCAATTAAATTTTTCCTGCCGTTTTTCGTGTCGAGACCCATCGACAAAATTGCCTGTGCGCCTTCACTCAACACTTCGCGTGTGTTTTGCAAAATTTGAGTTTTCAAAACCCGTGAAAGCCCATTGCTCGCCCAGCCCTGATTCCCTTTCTCAGTTTTTCACCGTTTCTTTTGAAGATGTCTGAGATTGACCCACTTGCCGAATTTCTGATGCCGGAAAGTAGCGAGCGTAACATCCGTAATGATCCATTGATAAGTGGTGGACCAATTCCAATGGAATCGCCAAGCCGAAAGCTCACGTTAGTGATGTTTTCTAAGACAAAAATACTGGTTTTAGTTTACAGATCTCTTCTTTCTTACGACCCAACTATCCCCGAATCTCCGGATATGAAATTCGCTCGTAAACGACTTGGGAATCTGCTGACCACAATAAAACACCATCCATCTGAAATAATAGGTGTTCTTCCAGAAGATTATTCGTAAGTTCTCATCTATTATTATTTTTTATCAATTCTTGATTTCAGTCGTGGGGACGAAGAAGCTAGTCGCCAAGGACGCCCTCCAGGTCGCCCACGCAAGATGATGCGTCACGAATCCGCAACATCTTTGATGGATTCGCCTCGCAAGACAATGACTCGTGATTCGAAGATAATGTTCGAGCTGCGCGGAAAACCATTCGAGATGGTTGCTGGAAGATACGAGGAAGAGTATTCACTGGGAAGAGCATGGGTCAAAGGAAATATGAACAGCGAGTACGATCCGATCAATCCGACACGAACAGATTTCGCTCCTAATTTGGCTGTGGTTAGTGCAATTCTCTCATTGAATTTCAAATCCATTTTTCCTTTTTTCAGGAGTATCTCGCTTGTCGAGAGATTCATCGAATGCCACGTCCAGACAGAACTGTACCTGAACAGCCTATATGTCCAACAGAACTTGACCAATTCAATGACAGTGTCGACCCAAGATACTTGTCAGAGCTGAAGACTGAATACATTCGTCATTGGAAACAAGTCAAGAAAGGATGGTGTGCTCACCAGCGACTTCGTGAAGCACCCTATGCTAAGAGTATCGCACTCATCGAGAAAATCTATCAGCCACCGGAGATGAGAACTCTGGATCACTCTCTCGGCATTATGTAAAATTGATTCCGATCAATCTTTCCTAATAATGATCTTTCAATCATGTCAAAATTTGTTATCTCATCTTGGTCATCAATTAACTTGTAAACTACTTTATTGAATAAAATATGTTATTTTTCATCTTGCAATTTAACCAGTTTTTTAGCCGATTTAGGAGATTTCATAGCAGAAGCAGTAGTCGCCTCAATTTCAGCTGTTACCGTTTCCAGCTGAATTTTATTAATGTATTTCGCCACTTCACGTTCCGCAGTTTTCATTAATGCTTGAATAGCAAAAACAGTCTGAAAAGTCTTGAATTATGAGAACCATTAAGGACCTGATAACCTGAAAAGCACTAAATATCACAATAAGAGTGTAGAAGACGTATTCCAAGGGTAGATTCAGAAAAGCACCATTTACAGCAAGGAACACGGTGAGGGGTAATTGGATGATTATCGTGGTGATGAGAAATCCGAACAATGCGGACATCTGAAAAATTTAAATTAGTCAGAATTTAAATAGTCGAAACCACTCACATTTTCTGCTAAATTTCCATAAAACCCAAGTCCCAACCGCACTCCTTCACTTCCTACATGAACTAAAGAAGCGGAAAAAGCAATAACTTGATAGGTCAATGAAAGCAGTTTGTGCTGGAAATGAATTACTGAAAATAGTGGTGAAATGAAACTAGCGAACCTTGAAATACAATGACAAACATAGATTAATCAAATGCATCGGATACATGCATAGATTGAAATATATCGACATTTGAAGAGGGAAGCTGGATATTATTTCTGGAAAAAATACTTTAAATACTTCCGAAAAGATTCTTAGAAGAAGATTTTAACTAACCCAGTTTAAAAGGCTCTTGAGGTATATTATCCATTTGAAAACATTCGTTGAAATTTCTTGGGAAGATGATGTGGGGAGTTTTTGCGCAGCGGTGGTGGTTACTATGGTTACCAGGAAGAAGAAGGGAAAAGAAGGAGATTTGGATTGGAACAGGCTTGCTATTAGATGAAAAAGGTGTTTTTATAGAGATAGAGTTTTGTTTTTGTCATGAAAACTCAGTGAAAAACAAAGAAACGATTGTGAGAATCGAATAACGTAACAACGCTAATTAACGCCTTCCACACCGTCAATGTTATGCCCATATATCTCACTTCCTGTAGAAGATGACAAGTTCTCAACTGATAAAATGTTTATCATAATATCAGAAACATTTGGTCAGTTGATCACTTTTTTTATATCTTTCACAGGGAGCGAGATAAATTAGCTCAAAGTTAAAAATTAGGGATGACGTTCTATTAGTTTATGTATGCTTGGGCTTGGATTTTTCGATTTTGATAAACACTTTAATCTGAAATACAAAAAAATATAGTAGGGATGATTCAATTCATTTTAAACAACACAGCATACAAGATTTAATTTATCAGGTCCCGGACGATTACAGCAAGTTGTGATACAGTTGAATCGTTGTTTCAGATTCTGAAATTTCTTAAACATATGAAGAATACTGTCTTTTTAAAATTTACCAGTCTTGGACAGCAACCATTCAAAAGTCGTCTAAAAGACCAGGAACTACATGGCAAACATATATTTAGAAAAGAACAATCTGTCATATTGGGCAATGGATCCTGATATATTTTGAGACGAAACCATTGGGGCTGAAATTGTTTTTTTAGTTTTATTAAAATATATTGTTTTTAACCTACCTTCAAGCAACTTATCAACATTGCAGTAGCAAGAGTTAGTATGAAAATCGCCAAAATAGCTATCAGAAAAACTACAGTAATCACATTTTCGTGAACATTTTCCGCTTCACTTTGCCATATTTCAGACGAATTGGAAGTTGTTTCTAGCTTCATGATACATACGAATTCTCCGTGATGTATTTAGTAGCTGCCTGCTGGGCACGTTTCCATGGTTACCGGCTCTAGGAGTGCTGAGTATTCTCTCGTATTGGCACACGTACTAGTCTGCGCTCACCACAAAAGGGAGCGGGAAGCGGGCGCGGGCAAGCACCTGATACTTGCGTTGTTGTACCAATTTTCAAGTTTAACGAAAATTTTTTTATGTTTATCATGTTCTCATCTTCTTCTTCTTTTTTATCCATTCCCTGGCGGAACATTTTTCAAATTACCGCTAATTGTAACTGTGCACTTTTTCGTGCAGTGAACCTACGTACCATGCAGTTGGTTTGACGACACCTAATTTCGTATGGCGACATAACCAGTTTAGAATCCGTTACTTCGTCATTTATTGATGTTTTCAGATCTGAAAATTATTTTTTATTGATTGTGGAGTATTGACCATGTTACTTGTCAACATACTATTGAGTGTAACTAGACATTTGCGCTCAAATAATGCTATGTTTTGCTTGCTACCCATTTTAAGACATTCTTTTTATTAGGGACTATTGATTTTTCTGTTTTTAGAAAACAACCTGAGGCAAACAATCGAAATGTCAGCCACAAGACGTCTACAGAAGGTATGTCGCCCAACCTCGTCTTTAATAATGTTTAGTTGCTTTTAGGAACTCGGAGATCTGAAAGGTTGCGGAGTGCGAGCATACGAAAATGTTGAATGCGAAGAAACAAATCTCCTGAAGTGGACAGTTCTCCTGCTCCCGGTGCGCAAATTTAATATTCTCAACTCACTGTTTTTAATATTCTCAACTAACTGTTTTCAGGATAAGGAACCATACAACAAGGGCGCTTTCAAAGTTGGCATCACTTTCCCCGTCGACTATCCTTTCAAGCCACCAAAGGTCGCCTTTGAGACAAAAATCTACCATCCAAACGTTGATGAGGAGGGAAAGTTCTGTCTCCCAATCGTGACAACAGAGAACTGGAAGCCGGCTACAAAAACTGAGCAAGGTAAGTGTTTTAATGGCCCTGTTTGGCTCTTTCTCGATAAGCCACATTTCGAAGTTTCACATTAATATTTTCAGTCATGATGGCGCTGCTCTCACTGATCAATGAGCCTGAGCCAAACCACCCCATCCGCGCTGACGTTGCCGAAGAGTTCCAGAAGGATCACAAGAAGTTCATGAAGACTGCCGAAGAGCACACGCGAAAGAATGCTGAAAAAAGACCGGAATAGAAGCTCAACTCCAGATGGCCTAAATAATTCCCCGTTTCCGATTAAAGTCTATTTCTTTGTGTATTTATTATACTCGATGCCTGTAATCCATTTTCCCCCATTCGATTCCATTCTTCATCCCAAAAACAAGAACTGAAATAAATCCCGATCTGGGTATGACCGATAAGCTGTAGAATTCTCTATCGGAACGCCCGATAACAGCGCGGCTGCGCATGCAGTGCGCATATGTGTCTTGTCTTCTGCGTCTCTTACTTCTTTCTCTCTGGACGCAAAATAACGTGGCTTCTCCCCATGCACCGTCATTCGCGATTCACAGCGTTAACACGGTGAATTAGACTCGACAGTTTTCCATTACAAGCTTTAGTTATAAATATGTTATTGTCTGAATTTTGCAGAGATGAAGACCATCCTCGTAACTGGTGGAACGGGTCTAGTAGGTAGCGCGATTCGGCAGGTATACTAAATCATATTATTCTTGAATAAAAAATCGGATCGGTGGAAGAAAAATACTTGTGGGCGTGATCAACGATTCCCTCCATCGTAACCTAAAATGTTCGGTCTTTTTTCGGATTCCTATGGCTTGTTTTGCGTTAAAAACCTTTAAAAAAGTCGGAAAATAACATTCTTTAAACTCAAAGATTGCTGTAAAACGGACGAAAAGAATATGAAAGTACTCTGGTAATCGGTTTCTAACCAGTTTCGGGAAATTTTCCGACCAGATCCGGTAACGCGCATTTGCCAACCAGATTCGAGTAAAATTCCAACCAGATTCGGTAACTTTTTATTTTCCGACCAGATCTGGTAATTTTCTGACCAGATACGACCGAAAAAGCTAATTTTCCAACCTGATTCGGACAATTTTCTAACCAGATCTAGCCATTTCTGCTCCGGAATTTTCCCGAATCTGGTTGGAAACCGATTACCAGAGTAAAGATTATTTACTAATTACGGTAGTTCGGCTGTGGCCGCGGCCACCAGATTTTTGCATACTAGCATAATATGATAAAGAACAATTTTTAATCTAACTGATCTGCAATTAGAAAAAACCAATATAAACGTTTGAAGGTTGTGGAATCCACTGAAAAAAGGGACGATGAGAAATGGGTCTTCATTGGAAGCAAAGACTGTGACCTGGAAAATGTAGAAGAAACTAGGTAATTCGAATCAGATTCCCCACCGATTTTTTCAAATTCGTTTCTAAGAAAACTATTCGAGTCGGTCAAGCCAACTCACGTTATCCATCTAGCAGCAATGGTAGGTGGCTTGTTCCACAACTTGGCTCACAACCTGAAATTTTTCCGTAAGAATATGGTGAGTATCTAGAATCAGCAGATTCATTAATCTATTTTTTTCCCATTCAGGCAATCAATGACAACGTACTTGCCTTGTGCCACGAGTTTGACGTCGTCAAGTGTGTTTCGTGCTTGTCCACTTGCATCTTTCCTGATAAAACGACATATCCAATTGATGAGACAATGGTTCATCTGGGTCCTCCACATGACTCAAACTTTGGATATTCCTATGCAAAGAGAATGATTGATGTTCTTAACAAGGGTTATGCTCAGGAACATGGACGGAAGTGAATTTCTTTTTTTCGAATTACGAAAACAACCAATCAGATTTCAGATACACTTCCGTTATTCCGTGCAACGTTTTTGGTCCACATGACAACTACAACCTCCAGGCTGGTCATGTTCTCCCAGCATTGATTCACAAAGCATTTGTTGCCAAACGAGATAACACATCTTTGGAAGTCTTTGGTTCTGGTAAACCACTTCGACAATTTATCTACTCGATGGATCTTGCGAGACTTTTCGTAAGAGTTGTCCGAGAGTATGAGGTTAGTGTTTCTGGCTGAATGAATTTAAAAAGATCCTTCCACATTTTCAGGATGTTGAACCACTCATTTTATCGGTCGGTGAATCAGATGAAGTTTCCATCCGTGACGCAGTTTCGGCGGTGGTGAAAGCCATGGAGTTCACCGGAAATGTTGAGTATGATACTTCCAAAGCTGATGGTCAATTCAAAAAGACTGCTTCAAACGAAAAGTTGCTGAAACTCTTCCCAGATTTCAAGTTCACCCCATTTGAACAAGCCATTCAAGAGTCTGTTCAGTGGTTTGTGGAGAACTACGAAACTGCTAGAAAGTGATTGATTTCTTTTTGTTGGGTTAATGGAGAATATCGTTAAATACTCTATTATTTATGTAATGATGTTTCTAAAATTTTGATATTTGTTCATTAATAAATGAGTTATATTTGTGGCTCGTACTACAAGAAGATATAGAGAAATTCTACGCCTGATATCACTGAAACATTCTCAGCCGCTGAGAAATAACAGCTGAAGAGGTTCAAACTCACGAATGAAAGCTAGCTGGCAGTCGAAAACGAACGGACGCTCCGTTGACGGACTGCCGACGGACTATTGAAACTAGTCCGAAGAACGAAGAACCGAGTAATTGGGAGCTCTAGGTCAATAAAAAAAAAGTTGGAAACCTCTAGGTGACCGGGTGATTTCATTTCATGATGGGCTAGGGTATGCTCTATCAGAAAAAATCCTCATAATGACAACACAACACTACATTGAAGGATATCGGAGGGATCTTGAAAATGAGTTCACCGTAAGCTGAGAAGATTCTGGAATTTTTCCAAATATTCATATTTTCAGAATTCTGACACCAGCGGAGAAAACCGTGTATGTCAAGATAAGCTAAAATCTCGATTTAATAATTTATTGTAATACAGGATCGACGTCTTTTACAAAGAATGTCTGAAAGATTTTAGTGGAAAGGCTTGTGAGCAAAGTCTCAGAGATTTTGCAAGAAAAAATCATCCAGGTTGGGATATCTAGTATATTTAGTTGCGGATCTTTTTTCAGAAGCAGAAGATGACTACTACAATAAAGCGAGAGAGTACTTTTGCGCAAAGCATACTGGATGTGAGAGGTTGTTTAGTGTTTCTGAACCGACATTTTTTTTTCAGTTTCATCATTTCTGTTTTGTTTGCAACAAGTTACCCCAACTCCTGCAAATCAACAAATTGTTCCACCTGTTCCACAAGCTCCACCTCCTCCACAAGGCCCACCTCCACTGACTCCTGAGCAACAACAACAACAAGCAATTATTGCACAACAACAAGCAATTATGGCACAACTAACTTATACAACTCCTTCTGGATTCATTGCTGAAAATCCAGGAATTATAATTGGAGGCGCTGTTCTTCTGCTATCTGCACTTTGTTTTATGGCTGCATGTGCCATGTCGTTTCTCACTGCAAAAAGCCAGAAACCAGCGGTTCCTGTGAAACGTGGAAATCAGATCAGAAAACCGGCTAGACATGTTCATAAAAAGAGAAAAAGAGCAAGTTCGTCAATGGATAAAATGGAAAAGGGCCAGAAAAAAAAGGAAGATGGTGGAAGAAAAGAAGAGAAACCATCAAATAGTAGCTACTCGAAGTCAAAAGGCAAATCAGCAAAATCTGTGGATTCAACTTCCTAACTGCCTTAAAAATGTTATTCGGTTTTGAAAATAAATGTGCTTGATATGAGTTTTTAGAACCTTTTTTAGTACTAAACAAAACATAAAGCTTCAATGTTTCCTTTTTCAGAAATTTTAATCCAAATTAGATTGTAGTGAAAAGAAGACGTCTTTTAAAAATTCTGGAATAATAGTCGAACCAGCCTCAAATTTTAACTTTATCAAAGAGGACTTTATCAAAGAGTTTTTTAATCAAAATTGAATCATAGTTTCTTGTTCCTGGCAGTTCTGTTTCTGATGGCGGGGTATTGGGTGGTTCCATTTTCCATTTTCCAGATCACTCATTCCGATTATCCAAAACATCTCTAATATCCAGGTAACTCTTCTTCTAATCCTAATTTAGGTAGCTCCGATCTTTTGATTCTTCATACTATCACAAACGATTTCTGATCACCAAAAAAAAATAGTTCATCAATAAACCCCTTAAAAATGACCAAGAAAAAATAAAGAAACTCCCACATTGGAATGCATTATGCTCATTATTCTGTGTTTCAGCATTTCTTTCCATATCAGAAAAGTATAAAACCAGTTCAAAGTTTTACGAAAATTATCGGAAACTTCTTCTTTCCATCTTCTCTCTACCGACTATGAATATTCTTGGCCTTCTCCTTCTCCTCGTTCTTGCTATCGCAGCTCCAATTGCCGAGGCTGGAAGACGGTGTCGCTCGAGCCACCAGTGCGACTACCAATCCGTCTGCTACAACGGATACTGCTACACCATCGACGAAATGTTCGAGAAGTTCGAGATGAAGAGAGCTTTTCTTGTAATTGATTGTGTTTTATGAAATAAATGAGCATTCCCAATTACGGTTGTGTTGTCTTAGCTCAGGCCATTTCATCCCGAAAAAGCTCAGAAGGAGATCCATGTAAATAGGAGTTCGTCCAAATCTGCACTCCAGATAATATGTCCATAAGTGAGAAAAGAATGGGCCGAACCGGGGATTGACCCCGGGACCTCTCGCACCCAAAGCGAGAACCATACCACTAGACCATTCGGCCGCATGGATTTATCATACAAATCAGATTTCAGATAGGTCTGATAAGAGCGATGGGAGATAACGTGAATCCTGTCTCTGCCTATGAAATCGACAGAAGATTTGGGGAAACAAGAAAGTAACCAGTCCTGATGGGTGATGCAAAAACTTTAGAAAGGAAAAAGAAGGCGTCAGTGAACGTCTTGAAAGCACGCGATTAGAGCGATCTCCAAGCTACAGTAGTGGAAATGACTCTTCATAGTTTTTGAGTCCACCAGAGGTTCCTTTAAAGCAAGACTAAATCATATTGAGGATGTTGAGAGTCGGGAGAGTTGAGCGATTGTTCGCTGACGACCTAAATTTTTTGCGAATTCCTGCTACAAAAAAACGGAGTTCAAAAACTTTTGACCTGTACTGTATGAATATTTTATTCAATTAAAGGCGAGAGATTATGAAACAAGTAAAATAAAAGGGAAACCCATCATACTATGGACTGGGTTGTTTCCGATGTTGCCGTTTGCAAGCTTCCAGTTCCCGAAATCACCGAATTCCCCGAAGTTTCGATACTTGGTGAACTCTTCTGTGACGGCGCCGTTGGACTTCTGGATGGAGATGGATCGTGGTAACTTTTTGGTCTTGAATATGTCGAGTTTTTCTTCTTTTCTACTTTTTTCGTCATGTACATATAACCAGTGACAGCCAGTAGACCGATGATAATGGTTCCAATTACAGCAGCAATAATCAGTGACATGTGTTTTTCGATGAATTCTGCCATTGTAGTTTCTGGAGGAGAACGTGTTGATGCAGTGGAGTTTGAGGACATTTTGAAAGAAGCCGAACCTGATCAAATTGAATGAGATTGGATATATTGGATTTTAACTGAATTAGGGAATCATCAAGTTCAGGCTAAGGGCAGGTTGAGGCTATGTTGGGTCGGGTAAAACTGTAAAAATAACTGGAGTACCGTAAAACCTGTTTTAAAAGGGTCCCTCCAATAGATGGGCCCATCTAATAGAAGGGCCCTTTCAAAATGTGTTGTTTGAAAAAAATAACTTCCGTACGCTTTCTTTGGAAAATACTCCGGAATATTTACAATTTTAGAAACATTTTGTTGAAAAAAAGTTTTTTGGTTAAAATTTTCTCAGTTTTGGTGAAATTGATAGATTTAAGCCTAATTTTGAACGAGAATTCACCGAAACTTTCCATGAAAAATTTTGGAAAAAATGGCCGGAAAAAAATAAAGGTCCCTCTAATAGAAGGGCTCTCCGAGAGTTGCTTCAAAAAATGGAAAGGCCGGCCCTTCTAATACAGGTTTTACGGTATGTTTAAAAAATGTTCTCGGCTGTCGGATTATAATTTCTGATCAGAATTTGAGAAAATTCGTCTTTTGGACGAATAGTAGCCAGGTTCTCATCGGAACTTGCCCAAAAACGGCTGTACAGCGGGCCAGGTTCAGATTTTGGTCCAAAGTTGAAATTTGAAATACTACTAGGTCGGAACCTTCTCATAATTTTTCCGGAGTTTGGTCGTCTTTAATAAATTTTAATCTGGAATCTGATAACCTTTGGCCAGAAGTAGCCGGCGAAGCCCAAGTTAAGAATCATAGCCATCATAGCCAGTTGCTTTTCAGAGAAAATCTAAAGAACACACGCTTTCTCTACGAACTTCCATTTTTGAAAGTAGGTCTTTCCCAACGGTAGCATTCAATGATTTGTGATTCGTTATTTTATCAGTAGAGAGAACTGTACTTGAACATGTGATATCAGTCTGTACTGGTTAAAGTAGAAGTCTGCAGTTTTTTCTAAACTTTTCTACCTAATTTTTATGAATTTTGTGAGATGAAGTTTACATTTTTTCAGTAAGTCCTACCGTTTTCTTGTTTAACAGAAAATCTAGAATGGTTTGAAGTTTGAAAAAACCTTAACTTCCTGTTTTCTGGTTCATACATATTGTTTTTTTTTCCATCCTTTTCCTGGGATTTCTTCTCCTTGAATTGACCTAAGTGTGTATGTGTGTCTGAGTAGTAGTCTTATCAAATTACCCCATCTTCCATTTCTTCGTTTTTTTCACCCCCTCCCTCTGATTCTCTCTCCAAGTCCGACGTTATCTCCACGTTCTTCTCTATATTTGTGAACGAATGTCCTTCTGAGTCTATCGTTGTTGACGCTGAAATTCGACGATTTCAGCAAATAACATGATGGAGACAACACATTTTTTTCGTTCTCAGTTAGATTCCTTCAACGAGTTGATGGCCAAAAACTTTTTTTTTTCACTTTTTCGTACTGTAGTTTTTTTTTCAGAAACCCAAGAATGCCCGGTCCACACCGGGCAAACTTCCACAACTACACGATGCTCTATCAGCATATTTTCAGTAATAAAACCGGATTTTCTGGAAATGTGAGTTTTTAATCGTTCAATTTTTGATCTAATTAAATATGATCAGGCAAAAGTTGTAAGTAAATACTTTAAAATGAAAATTCTACGAATTTCTATTACTCTAATATGGCACTTTTTAAGGGGCGTATCTGAAAAACCAAAAATTCTGGAAAAATTCGGGCCGGGCCGGGTCGAAAAAAAAATTTCCGGCCCGGGTAGCTGATGTTTTGCAACTTTTTGGGAAACATTTATTGAATTCTACCTCAAAAACAATTTCCTGGGATATTCCGCCCTTATAAAAATATCGAAACTTCAAAGTTTATAGAAATTTTGATGAAAACTTCAAAAATCTTGAAAAACTTCATAGTTTGGAAATTTTGGAATCTGACCCGTGCCGACAGGGCCGGGCCGGCCCAAAAATTTGTCGAAAAGATGTTCACCTTTTGAAAAAAAAAACTCCACTGCTTGTGTTATTAGTCACAAAGAATCGGAGTGCTTTTTTACGATTTGAGCTTCCCAAACGAATTTTCTGGACCACATGTTCTTTTTTATGGCTCAGTCGACAAAAAAATTCAAACTCCTTTTCCTTTCAAACATTTTCCCTGACTATTTTCTTGCTTCTGTAACCTTGAATTCAATTCCAGAGATAATCGAAACAATCCACTATCCCCATGTGACAATCAAAAATTTGATGTGACGTGTAGTTTCAAAAATTTATAGCCAATTTCCTTCGTCTTCTCCGGAAGAAACAGAAAAAATTCCAAGAGATATGTCACATACATACACGACGTCTTCAACTAAAAACACTTCTGATTTCTTCTTCATTTTGTTCTTGATGTTTAAATGTAGCACTGAAGAATTCGAATTTTTGAAGTTTAAGTTTCGTTTAAAAGAAAACATGCTGACTATGGCGGATTACTCTATTGGTTAGGTTCCAGTGTGTTGGCACCTGCACAATTACCCGGACTGATAAAAAGAGGCATATTTTTAGACATAAGTATCTTGGGCTTACGAAAATTGGTCGAAATATGATTTTACGTTGGATACAAAGCTACTGAAAATTTCAAAGCGATTACACAAGTCTAGGCATTTAAGGGTTATAAAAAGATGGACGGCGTAATTTTTCTTGCAAGCCTTCGTGATTTTCATAAGATGAAGAAACTTCGATAAGCGATAACTCAGCTCAAAGTTGATCAAGTAATTCAAAACTTGACCGTTTTACTGATGGATTATTTGAATTTTTGTACTCCAAATGTGAGTCCAGTATAACGCTTTACTGGAATTTTATGATAGTGCAAATTTGAGTCCGTGTAATTCTGAATTTATTGAAATGCACATCTAGTCATAACCCAAAGATCTCCTTTTCTAACTTTTGTAGTCTTCCATAGTGTTAAATATCAGAAGCTCCAATTTTTCAAACTAGCGGAAATCTATTTTATCCCAATCTTCTTGTGATCTGCTCAAAATTTCAAGATGTCATCAGCAATGCAAAAACATCCGGATGTTATGAATCCACACGTTCTCTGAACTTTCTCGATTTCGGTTCTCACTTACTCAAAATCAATATATAAATTCCCAGAACTCTCAAATTTCCAAAACCCAAAAATCTAAAAGTGTACGACATGTACTTGAGACTCTCAAGTTGAGACTTCTCAAACAGTTTTTTTCCGTGAAATTAGATCTGTACTCAATAATTTGGAGCGCTTGAAATGAACGACTAATTTACTTCCAAGTTTAAAAATATTATGCAAAACATTTTTTAATTAACAGAGAATGAAAGATGTATTCTGTTTTGTTCGTCACTCCATTTTTGCCACTCTGGCTAATGACATAATCTAGTTGCGAAGAAGAAGCTCTCACTTCTCTTCTTAATGAAACTTTTCTTTTTTTTCTATTATCCTAATCTTCAGAGTTTTTTGTAGTGAATAAATTTATATTTCAATTGAGAACTTAAGTTCGAAGACTCATAACCAAAGTACAGAGAACTTTCAAAGACATTTTATTCTTGTCTGAGTATGTCTTGCAGTTTTATTTGTTTTCCCCAATCTGTCTGACACATTTTTAAATTGGCCAAACAGTATTATTTTTCAATTTTCGCAAAAACCTTGTATTCTCCGTTTCCAATAGCTGGAGAGGAGACATTATGAAAGTTTTCTACTCATATAACATGCTTTTGAACCCATCAAATTCAGTTTTTCGAAATTTTAGAAAAAAAATCAAACCAGAGCCTATTTTTCTTGTTGATTCAATGGAAAAGTAAACCGTTAGCAACACAATTAAGAATGACACACGTATTTTTGCAGCTTTAACGTGCCATTAATTTAAAAAAAAAGGTTATGCATCCTTTCAGACACACCAATTACTCAAAGAGCTCACATAATTAGAACCAAAACTTAAAATAGGATGGGCAGGAAGTGGGGAGTACCACCCAGTACGGCGCTAATTATGTACACTTGGATAGAAAATAACAAATTCTGGAATTTGATGTTTTAGTTTTTTTTTTCATTTCAGTACGTTGTTTTGCCAATTTTTGCAAAAACGGACAGAATCTTATTGAGATGGAATTTCAAAAATCTTTTACTACCGCGAAATCTGTAATAGAATTGCCCCTACACTGATAACCTTGACTCGATTATCCTAATTTCTATAAGAGTCATCAAAATGTGTCAACTGATAAAATTTTTCTGATATTATCATAAGAAATTTATCAGTTGACATTTTTTAAATATCTTTGGCAGGAACCGAGAAAAATTCGCTCAAATTAAAAGTTAGGGAGCCCTTCTATTACAGGTTTTACGGTATGTAGTCTGAAGCTTATTGGTTTGGTACACCATCAAGCGTCTAATTCCAGCTGTACCGTTGTTCTATCTGCTTTTTTCTTTCGGGCCATGTGTCCTCCGGAGCTCATTAGCTCTCTTCCAATGTTTTCTTTCCTGTTTGTTCTGCTCAAAGAAAAATAGGAAACAGATCTATCTACATATATCTTGAAGGATGAGTCTAAAACACTACTGTTTCAGGAAAAAGTTTTATCTTTTCTTCTAGATTTTCAACACACTTTTTGCACTTTCTCCCGTTTTCTCAAATTCCCGGTGGTCCCATTCATTCTGTCAATCATTTTTGATACTTCCTTTTTCTCTTCTTTGCCTTCCAAAATGTGTTTCTTGAAAAAGAAAAGTTTTGAAATTCAAATTTTAGATCGTTTTCCCAAAAATGAGTACTCTACAACAACGACTCAATGCATTCAAGAAACGAGGCCAATTGGCTGGGGTAGGTTCCGCATTTGAAAGTTTTTTGGCTGAATTTCTTGGAATCGAGATTGGGAAATTTTTTATGAAAATATCTTTGAAGAAATAAGTGTCCATATAGAATGATGAATTCGTCTGTATCTCTCTTATAGTTTTATTGAATTTTGGAGAAAGCGTACAGGGTGTGTCTGCCGCGTTAAAACTACAGATGTGACTGCTTGAATTATGGGACACCTCTTACATTGGAAAGGGGATTATATGATGAGAAGAGAAGGGTAGTTCTGCTTTCTGAACATCACAAGAAGAAGAGTAAAAATATCAGATCTGCGTAGTACGAGTCCTCTGCTATGACGACGGACTCGTTGGGGGCTTTTCCACGGTGGATCGGTCCCATCTGCGCTAAAAGAATCTGCAATAATCTGCGAAGAAACAAAATCTGTCAGTACACGTCTGTTCCGAGACAGAACTCGCACCAATTTTTGCAAAGGAAAGTGAAGTTATAAGTCTGCTTTTCGACAAGAAATTCCAACTAAAAGGGCCTAAAATTATGCAGCAAGTGCGCTCCTTTTCGACCGACGAGAGAGTGTGGCGGCGACGGAGAGCGGGAAGAGAAACGGCGCGTCGGCGCGAAATACGAAAACATGAAGTTGAGCTTGACGGGAGAATCTGTAATTAAAATATAAAACAAGACAATGGAAAACTTGGAAGGGTGAGCTGCGGATCTGCTAGGGGACCTGCTTAGCTCTGCTGACTTTTGTATTTGCTAGCAGAGAATCGTGTTGTTGCCATCTTCTCTCCTGCAGTCTTAGACGTGCTGCTTAGTCTGTTGTGTACTGCTTTGCAAGAAGAGTACTACCCGACTTGTGGAAGCGTAGTTTTCACAACAGGATATGCTTATCTGCTAGCTTCCTTTTCTAGAAAGTTTTTCTGAGGATGTTAAAAAAAGACCATCTATGATTTTGTTATTTCAAGGGGGACTCCGACCAAAATTTTTCATAAAATTAAAATGTTTATATTCAAGGAAAAAAACCAGAATTTCCAAAAACTACCATTGAAAGCGAAACTTTTGAGCATTTTTCAAAACGGTGGAAAATAGGGACGAGGATTTGAATTCCCGCGCAGTGAGAACCTAGGCCATGGCAACGAGCCGGCTTTCTTTCAATTGGCAGCTAGTGGTTTTTTAACGTTTTGATGGAGATAAAAGCGAAACATTGCAAATAAAGCGGCCCGCCGCCATGGCCTAGGTTTCTCATTGCGCGGGAACTGAAATCTTCGCCCCTATTTGTAACCTTTTTTAAACGGGTTTTTCAGAGATTTCAAATTGGTTCCCCCTTCAATTAGATTATGATTAAGATTCAGTATCGCTTATCCAATCGTTTTTGTTATTGTACGTTTGACATTTGGAATCAGAAATCCATCGTCAAGCAACAAATGTTGGCGTCATTCTTGAAAATGTTCTGATCGGTAGCAACCTACTTCTTATCACACTCCGATGAAATCAGTTGATTTTTCAAGCGAAATTCCAACCAAAGTAACAATCTGAAGGAAAATTTTCGGACGTCAAGGTACGAAAATCCTCCGGAAATGAGAAATTTCTGTCCGCTCAATGCGGATGATTTGAATTTCGTTCAGCCCCAAACAGTCGTATTTTATTCTGGTTGGTTATTCTGGTTTTTCAAGCCCATTTTCTTCTTCGTTGGGCAAAGAAGAGCCCATTTATTTATTCCCATCTGCCTTCCTCCCGTCAAACCACCCTTCTTTTCTTCTTCCATCTCGTCGCTTTTTGCCTTCTACCACACACACACTTCTCCTTCATTTTCAATTTCATTGTCTTCTGTTTTTTGAAAAAAGCGACGGCGACGAACATCTACCACAGCTGGTCGGATAAAGGACTTGTTCGAAATGCTCGCTTTTTGTTGCTCCCCGCTAAAGACTCACTTTCTACCTGCTAAATCTATTCCGGCAGGAGCAATCGCCACGAGGAAGGTAAGACTTTTAGCTGAAATATTCGGATATTTACCATGATCTTGATGTTCTGATATTTACAAAATCTTAAGAGCTGAAAGTATACTACAAACTTTTACAACTTCCCACTGTCTCAAAACTATCTTCTAAAATTTTCTAATTCGAATTTGGGGAAGATGAGGATAACTTATTTTACCAGCTCAGAAAACTGGTAGGCGTTTATCAAATCTATGTCATTATCTCTCTAGCTGACAGCTTACCGAAATACCTCTAATAGAAGGGCCCCAACTTTAAGCTTTGAGCCAATGTTTTCCGGCTCCTGTTAAAGGTATGAAAAAAGTTGTCTAGTGATGAATTGTCTAGCATAATATCATCAATATTTAATCAGTTTACCAAATTTTGATACTTGCATATGAACCAAGAAAAATCGGCCCAAATTTGACAGCCAAGGGGGCCATTCTATTACAGGTTCTAGGGTATTTAGAATGAAACGAATATGAGAATACATGAGTAACAGCTTTTCATAGAAACTACAGTACACAATTCACTTTGCAAAGTACTCTATTTCACAAGGTTCGAAAAGGTTTGGTCAGAAATCGCGCCCCAGATAACTTTTAGGTAGGCAAACTTTGATAATTTTAAAGTTGACGATGATTTGACCAATGTATTTTTCTAATTCTGACCAAGCCTTCTGGCCCGATGTGGCTACTGTCGTTTCTGCTAAGTCAATTGCATCAAAATTCGGAAAACCTCTTTGGGACTTTTCTGTTTCTCTCGAAAAAAATACGAAAAGAATCAAAATGCTAAAATCCTTCCTGATTAGAGTTTTATCGGGACTTTCTATCATTACAAGTTTTATATTTGGATATTCTCACAGGAAGTACTTAAACTAAAAGACTAGCACATTTCTAGGTTATGCCGTCTACACGGAATAGGAAAGTCCGGTGTTTTTCTGTTTACTCAACGTTTATAATGAATTATTTCATAGCATTGCCTCACGAGATTTCTTCTTGTAACTTCTATTTTTCCTGAAAATATGTCTCTGGAAATGCTATTCTTTTTAGTTTGGTAAGTCATCCTTCTGTACCACTCGATTAGAAAAAAATCCACCAAAAACCAATCTCTGCACCATCACCCATTTTCATTCCATCGAAAAATCGGAAATTCCATTTTTTCTCTTCCATTTGGGATTGGATTTTGAATCCGTTTCCGGTCACATCTCCATCACATTCTAGCTTTCAGACTCTCAAGTTCATCTTTTTGTTTTTCTTCCAAAAACTTTTTTTTCCATTTCCGCTTGGAAGGCTCACAAAAGTTTTATGATCTCATAAAATCCTTTTGTTTTCTGGTTTATTCAACTTGAAAAAAATTTGAAATCGGTAAGTGGGATTACTGTGGCTTTATGGGGGTCGTTATTCATTGGGAGCAGGGGAGGATCTTCCTGCTACAGTAACCAACAGAAGTTGTTCTTTGGGATAGAATGTTTTGAGCACGTCCTGGCTTCTAGTATATGAAAATCGAATGAAGTTAAAAGGGCACACCGAACAAAATGTTTTTGGTAATTTTCTTGGACAAAAACTGACCCCGCTTGCATTAAAAAAAAAATTGGTCAAAACACATTTAAATTGG